CCCTTACAACCACGTTCTCACCTGTGGACCCCCTTACAACCACGTTCTCACCTGTGGACCCCCTTACAACCGCGTTCTCACCTGTGGAACCCCCTTACAACCACGTTCTCACCTGTGGACCCCCTTACAACCGCGTTCTCACCTGTGGACCCCCTTACAACCGCGTTCTCACCTGTGGAACCCCCTTACAACCACGTTCTCACCTGTGGACCCCCTTACAAGCAAGTTCTCACCTGTGAACCCCTTACAACCACGTTCTCACCTGTGGACCCCCTTACAACCACGTTCTCACCTGTGGACCCCCTTACAAGCAAGTTCTCACCTGTGAACCCCTTACAACCACAGTTAAAATTATAAAACACTGCCTTGGATAAACAATTACAAATTAGTTTGGTTTTGAAAGTTACATCTTCATTTTTTACGTTTTCTATGATTTTCGCACCCCGTATGCACCCACATGCCCCCTGATGATCCGCCCCCCCCCCATCTCCCTTGCCCCCATACAATCCCCCCCCATCTCCCTTGCCCCCATACAATCCCCCCCCATCTCCCTTGCCCCCATACAATCCCCCCCCCCCTCACTCGCATACGAGGCAAACATTTCCTATCTCGTTTACCTACTGGAAGCGAAATATGGATAAAGTGCCAGGATTTCAGGCATTTTATCCTTAGTAATAAGATGGTTTGCCATTTAGTACAACCTTGAGTTTAGATTTATCTCTTAATTAAATGGACTGTAGCAAAATTGAGCCAAGATATAATGTTAGAGTATGTGTTTATCATCACCATTATGTTTATTGATGCAAATTTATCGATCTATTTTCTTGCAAGACTTGTGACCCCAATTAGTTATTTTGTTTATCTGAATGTTTAATAAAGTCTCGTCCTAACACAGACTCGGACCTGGACAAAGTGTCCTGAGAGAGAACTTGGTGTCATTTCTTTACACAAATCTCACAAATACACAAGTGTGGGTTTTTTATCCTGTTATTTCTGTGAGTAGATATGACCCTTACTTCAATCAGGAATCTAACCCGGAATCCCTGATTGCGATTCAAAAATGAAGACAACTGTACTAAAAGATCCTTTTGTTACTTGGATCATATTTTATAATGGAAAATAAAAACACTTTGTTGTCACCTTTGTTGTCTCCGTGAATTACCATTTTTTTTTTTTAAATAGCATACAGTGCCTGGAAATAAAAATTTAAAATAGAAACGCAATACGAAAATATTTTCAAAAATATTGCTTTTCTGGCTGTATTTTGGCCCTCTGTAGAAATAAGGCTACAAAAATTATCACAACCAAATTGTTACAGTTTACAATAAATATAGTTCTGATTAAATGCCTCCTCTAAGTTGTGTGTCTAAGCTCTGCTGTCTCAAGTGGATTTTCAAAAATGGTTGGGCAAGTTTCCTTTCACCTGATGCCTTTGTTCACTAAGCAGTAAATGGGTACCCAGGTTTTTTTTACAAGGTTGCATCCTGGAAAGGGTCAGTGGTTTGACCTTGGAGGAACCACGATTCAAGCCTAACGTACTGTACATATATACATTATATACACACAGGCTTCCTGTCCCCAGCAAAAGGAAACTAAAACCACAACATGTATTTACAAAGAAATAATATTAAAAATACAACCCAATAAGCATAATTTTCACAGGCTTATTATTATTATTTTTTTTCATTGACAGTACTGTACTCAATTAAATTTATATATTTTCTACATTTTTAATGCAACCTACATCATTTTTTATACCATTTTCTCATCTTTTCCAATGAGAAAAATGTGTGCCATTTCTATATACAGTACTGCACAGTAAATCATACAAATTTACAAATTGTTTTTAACTACCTGTCAAAACAACTGTACAGAATTTAAAATTTTCATTATACACAAATTGGTTCGACTAAATGTGCCTATTACCCATTCATGTTCCAACTGTATCGCAACAATTACTTTAAACAAATACGTAACTTTACCTGAACTTATGATGCTTGCCAAGTAATCATATTTTTAGAAAAATATACAGTTCAGTATGTTCAGTATAAGCAAAAATTTATTTTGACCTTTCACATTTCAACTAAAAAAGAAAACTGTATTCTTCTCATATTTATCAATTATTAAAGGACAATAAAATGTTAAGCTAGCCTTCAACACTTAAGAAAACGTTTACTGCACATTAAAAAAAAAATTATTTCCAAGCCTGTAAATTTGCTCCAACATAGGCTAACAAACATTAAGGAAATTATTTTTGTTGAAATAGATGCGAGTAAGCGTGATGGTTGAGAGTATCTGGACTTGGATTCTTTTATTATAAGGGGAGATGGCACTGTAGTTCACACATGTGGAATAGTACTGTCATGATGACCAAACCACACACCAGAAGATGAGGAGATGATGTTTCGTGCCTTCCTCACCCCCCATCTCAATCTACTTGATAATGGTCCAGAATGGACTGAAACGTCATCATCGCCTCATAAGTGGTTTGGTCATCATATCTTCAGCCACGTTATTGTGACTCAGCCTCTGCACAGTAGTCATATTTGGATGGGGCTGCATCACAGTTCACTAACCTGACTCCAGGTGTACACTGCTGAATGGTACTAGCAACTGCCACTGTGGCCCAGTCATTGGGCTTTTACCACCACGATGAGATTTTCCAAATGTTCATAATGTAAAGCAAGTTGACAGGCAGACTCCAAGAGAAAGGTAAAAACATAAAATAGGGAACAATTTTCTTTAAAAGATAGACTATTTAATCAGAATTCTTTTGGTTGTCATGTTTCACATTCCAAGTACTGTACAGTATAGTATTTCACATGATTTTATACAGAATACAGTTATCATCTTCATGGCTATTATGCTTGCATTTCGTTTATCAAATATTTTTTTATTACATAACATAGCTTATGAAAACAGAATTGACAATGAAAAATCACAAACTTTACGCCCAACCTAATCATTAACCGAGGATGATGGCTATCGGTACTCATACTCTGGACACTGTCACTGATTCTCAGACACTGGTTTTATCAGTGCAACACCTGGTCTGCGACTAACAATAACATTAGTCAATGTACAAGAACTGTATATACATATAATAATAATTCATAATAATTTGTATTTGCAAGAAGGTACAATGGGTTGTGAGGTTACACAAGACTGGTATTTTTACATTCATGCAAAGCCATTAACATGTATAGTTTTGGGCAGGTACTTTACATTTATGTTCAATGCATTATTATCAATGATAAAAACATGAATATTAAATGAAACTATTATTCTGAGTATCATTTTACAAGCAAAAATTATATGGTTTATAATGGTTTATGAACAAACCACAGGAGTCATGATGAGGGTTCGAACCCATGCGCTGGGTGTTCCCAGGCACGCTCTAGTAACTGTGCCACGACATGGTCAAAAGAATTAGAACCTAGGGTACACTCCCCCCCCCCCACCACTAGGATTCCCTGGCATCAAACACAGGAGAATTGGTAGATATGAAAAAGGGAAAGATCTACCATTGGGGATAACCCTAAACACTGCTAAACAGATGGAAGAAGTACTAAGGAATGTTAGGAAATTACAAAGTGACGAGGAAGGGAAATTATGGTCATTAAGACGAGATCTTTCAAAAGACAGAAGCTGCAACTGAACCTTGTAGAGACAAAATGTCAATGCGAGCAGGAACAAAGAAGTTGATAGGGTGGGTAAGCCAGTAAAATGGTACAAAAAGGTAAACTAACAAAATCACTAGAGTAAATCACTAGAATGTAAATAAAGGTACCAAAAAAATATTAGAAAGTTTTCTTTTGCAAACAGTGGTAGATAATGGGAACAAGTGAGAAATTGGTAGAGGCCAAAACCATCAATAGTTTCAAAGCATTATATGAAAGAGTGCTGGGAAGACACCACGAGTGTACCTCTCATCCTATAACTACACATAGGTAATAAGGTAATTACAATCTAGAATTCTGGGTTTGAATCCTGGGCATGACAGATATGGTTGGGCACATTTCCTCTCACCTAATGCATCTGTTCACTTAGCAGTAAGAAGGTACTCAGGAGTTTGGGGTTGCATCCTGGGGCAGGGTCAGTAATTCAACCTGAGGGGAGGGGCTTCTATACAAGCTAACGTGTATGAATACACACCAGTTTCCCGTCCCCGACACATTGAATTATTATTTTTAATTATTAAAACGAGTTCATAAAATGCACCAAGGAACTACAGATTATGCTCGTCCAAAATTTTCCAATTTATGAATACTGCACGACACAAGAAAGCCAATGTTCATTATATGAATTAATTACGAGTGCAAAATGATTGGTCCTGAAAAAAATAAGACCCATTTGTTGAAATTCTAAGAAATTCCCATAATTTCCCATCATTCTACATTCTTTTTAAATGTAGATAAAGCATTTGATTTAAACAGCACTGTGTATATACTATATATTTATATATTTAATATGCTTTACTTATAATTTCTATAATTAAACATTTTAATGGAATACAATCTCTCAAGAATTCCAAAAATAAAGCAGTGGCTATTGTACAGTATTTACAAAACAATGAATTTTAAAACAAAATCTCCAAATATTCAAAACCAGCAAAGTCTGACATGAGCATATGGTAAGACCATGCAAGATTAATGGAGCCAAACAAGGCTTAGTTTCCCAGGACACAGCATCATGCAAAACTCATCTGCTCATCTCCCAAAAAAACAGTTTGCACAAATAAAAATAGCCAGAGCAAATCTATTTACATAACTCCACCTCAAGAACTGTAAAAAAGCATTCAATCCAAGATCAAATATTTCTGGGCTGGATTACAATTTTTAGTCAACAATATTTGTCTTTGTTTACAAAGGTTAATTAACTTACCTCATTAATATATATGGGGCCCTTTGTACGGTCATTTGCATACTAAAACTTAGCAATTTCATTATTTTTGTGAACTGGTTATCACTCTAGGCGATTAAGTAGTCGTGTGAACTCACCACCAGCCGGAGAGCAGAAGTGTTCCCTGGGGCCCAGAGCACTCACCACCAGCCTCCCTCCGCCTCTCCTGCTGTCCGCCCAGGCTCTGCACCTTCAGGCGGAAGTGTTGGGGTATATGAGAGGAGCGCGACCTTCACCACCACCACCACCACACAACCACAATTCTGACACTTGTACGCTCTCTCCACCACTCGCCATGGGACAGCGGCGGCCCTGCATTTTCCGACCGTCCGGCCGTGGGATAGAGGGGGGAAGAGGAGGTGCTGCTGCTGCTCTCCTAGCCCCAATAACGGGGATTCTCGAGCCTGGAAACCCTGGCAACTTTAAGGAAGAGCATGATGAGGAGGTGGAGGGAGGGTGGTTAACCTTGGACGACAGCAGCAGCAGCAGCAGCAGCTGCCGTTCACCTACAGAGTGGGCGCCACACTGACTCACCCCCGGCCTCCCTCTCCGGACCCAAACAATAACAAAGACACGTTGCCAGTCATCAATCGCAACTTTCAGTCCATTTAATTCGACTTTTCCTCATTAACAAAAATACATTTTAAGCTTGTGTTAGTATAATGTTTCGTTCATTTCTTATATATTTATATATGTCATAGTTTTGTGTGTTTGATACAAAGGGCTTTAAACGTTATTCGGAATGGGACGAACAAAGAAAAGATAAGAATTAAATGGCCTGGTAGTATGAAGGGAGCTAATCATTGAAAAAAATGCTTAGTGTAAAATAAGTATTAACTTCATGCAAAATAATTTGTGTTGGAGAGGTTCTTAAAGTCCGTAATTTTAAGTATCCCTTTTTCAAATGCTGAACAATGCACTATTATGTGCATACAGTATCTTAATAACGAGTCCATTAGATCAACATATTTATATAGGTCAGCCTATTGTAATTATTTTTAGTTGACATGTACAGACTGCCAGCTATATAAGGAGGCACCAAAGCGCATGCTCCTGTGCCAGGTAAGTCCACTACGGGCTCACCTTAGCCCGTGCTACTTGCCCAGCGCCTGTGCCAGATAAGCTCACCATTGCCCGTGCTATTTGGAACTTGTTCCGAGTAGCGGAATCTATAACAACAACAACAGCATGCACGTTTTTACAAAGCTAGATACAACGCTTGAACTATAAACTACCTGTTTACGACATTTACCTGAATTTACCTAAGGGCCACTATCTATCCAGTGGCCTCGACGAAGACAGGAAGCCTGCAGGGATTTGGGTACTCATAATTATAAATGCAATAATTTACTAAAACTCCTATAGTTTGTTTTTGTTTCTTAGCTAGAGCAAATAGCTAATCCCGGACACCACAGAAATGGTTGTCCTGACAATGGGTGATATCTTATATTTTGAGTGAGGAGTCCGTATAAATAACTGGGCCTCATGCCCTAATCCAACTTAATATAGCACCCCCAATACCATGAGCCTCTATCTTTTTAATGAGTATTTCATGTGGCACTGTATCAAAAGCTTTGCTAAAGTCAAGTCAATCCTTATCACTATCAACTGCCTCAACTATGCTGGAATAAAAAGGTAGCAAATTTGTTAAACATGAACGGCCATTTGTAAAACCATGCTGCGAATCATTTATTAATTTATGCTTTTCAAGATGAAGACGAATTGTATTTGCAATTATCGATTCAAGTAACTTTCCCACAATAGACGTTAAGCTAATTGGCCGAAAGTTTGACGCAAGTGATCTATTTCCTTTCTTAAAAATTGGTACCACATTAGCAACCTTCAATGACTCTGGCACTCTGCCTGACTCTATTGATTTATTAAATATGGTAGAAAAGTAGAAGCCTTTGTCGTGTGGATCAATGCACGTGGGACCCTCCACTGGGGTAAGGATGGAACGACATGAGGGGAGATATAGGAACCGTGGGTTGGAAAAGTGTGGCATTTTCTGTATTGGGAAAAACAAGTGAATAGAGATTTACACGCAGAGATCACACTAATAAAGATGAAGTGGATCACACTAATGAAGATGAATTTGTTCAAGTGAATAGAGACTTACGCATCGTTGCGCGCGCAGCCGGCTGGGGGTACTTAAAGGTCAGCTTGGGTCAAGCCCCTTACGGGCTCACCATAGCCCGTGCTACATGGACATTTCGTTCTGAGTAGCTAAATCTAAAACAACAACAACGTCAAGCACCCTCATCACATTTACTCCAAACATCTACCACTTACGGGCTACTCATACCCGTGCCACCTTTGGGGTGGCTTAATCTTCACCTCACCTACCAGTCACCATTTCAACACATACCAAAATCGTTTTGAAATTACTACACATTTGGTAATAAAAAAACAAAAGCTGGAGATAATGATTAATATTAAACCTTGCCGGAGATCTCTCTTAGTGTGATGATATACATCACTACATTTTTTTTAATTTTGAATTTGAATTTGAATTATAAAAGCAAAACAAACACAAGATGCAAAAAAACATGATTTTTAGAATTCTACGTGATTCCCGGTAATAGAGCGCTTCATACAGATATCTGACTAACTTCACCAGTCTTGGTAACTAGCCTAGCAAAGAATTATATCTAATTTTTACTTCCTAAATAATAATTTGTCCGTCTCGCACAACATGGCGAATCTAGGATCTACCGGAAACATATAATATACCGGCGAGTACCGGGTTCGATAGTGGACACCCCGCTACCGGAACTTTCACATCCGGATCCTGTGTTTCCACTGCACACTGCCTGGCCACTGGCTCTTGCCCCTCCCTACCACCACCAACTCTAGCTCACGCTTGCAACCTCACCAGCATATTCCTACGACTACTATCAACAGTACTACACCAACTATGTTGACCAGACCACACACTAGAAGGTGAAGGGACGACGACGTTTCGGTCCGTCCTGGACCATTCTCAAGTCGATTGTGAGACCACTCACAAACGACTTGAGAATGGTCCAAGACGGACCGAAACGTCGTCGTCCCTTCACCTTCTAGTGTGTGGTCTGGTCAACATACTTTAGCCACGTTATCTCATCACCTACACCAACCATCTCCATTATCACCATTCAGACGCTACAAATTCGACACCACAATCATAATTAGTCACTATTATCAACACCAGCACTACCATCAAATACAACCTCGCAATTTGTTTGTGAGGGTGGATGTTGGTTGTGGATGGGTGAACGAGTGTGGGTGGTGTGTGGATGTGATTGGGTGGTTGTTTTAGGTAATTTAGTTTCTGGCAATTATTTGTATTTGTAGTACTGTATGTGGGTGAAGCGTTTATGAAGGTGCTGTTCAAACAGAGGACGTGGGTGAAGCACTGTTAGGGAAGCAAGTAATTATCAAAAGAAGGCACCAAACCGGGACGACTATGTAGCACCATCAACTGTTCGAAATAATCAGAGGGCGCTAAATATCACCAAGGATGCCAATACGAGAATAGAAACGCATAAGGCGAACGATATCAAAAGTATCAGATTCACCAAGAAGTCTATCGAGGGACAAGTGACCGCGAGGGACGGTCGGAAAGCAAGACACACGCTCGTCCTGGAAGTCAGGACATTCAACAAGAGGGGCACGACTGTAAGAGGGACAATGCAATTTGGACAATAAGGAGCTGGGCAGTGCTTCATTGACCGTGAGTTAGCAAGTATGGCCAAAACGCAACCTTGCTAGAGCCGTTTCCCACCGCCGGTTACGGTGGCAGAAGGAAGGCCACAGGGACACACAACGCTTAAGAGTACACAGTTTGAAAAACGTTTGAATACTGTCAGTCATATGTACAGCATTTTACATTCATTAACACAAGTGTTAGCTGCTGGATTAAAGATCATTTGGAAATTGTTCATGAGGATGGGCTGACAGTGCTATGTAGGTGATCTCACGCCTTTGTTCACCTAGCGGAAAATATATGTAATCCAGGAATTGGACAACTATTGGGGTTGCATTCTGCTTGAGGCCAATTGTTGACTATGGGGGACTTCCATAAAATAACAGTTTGCAGAGCAAGTTAATGGGAACCATACTTTTAGTTTTATGTATTGATTATTTGAGACTGGTACATCCATTTGTATTTTTTTTAAAGATTCTACATACGCTAAATTTATATAATTTTTAGGAGAATGCATATAGGAGGTACATGTGTATAAAATACGTGTTTAAGAGTGGTTGTACTTGGGGGCGTAGGTTAGTTTGTATGAAAGGGGGGCATCAGTTTACAGGGAAAGGGTATTCTTTTTATTATAATAGGTAATTGCAAACATTAGTGGTTGAATTACTAGAGATCAAATGATATGGCACTGTAGATCGAGAAGTCAGGCAGGTAAAGTGCCATCGGGTATGGCCAGCTTCGGTAAAGTGCCATTCGGAATGGCCAGGTAAATTGCAAAAACAGCTTCACCTTCAAAGTGGCACCTTCTTGAGCCTAACAGACTTCTTGTCCTACACAGCAGTACAGGCAAAAGTACTACACCAATGCATAAGGTATATTACACATGTACAATATATATAGTCCATTCCACAAAATGTTTAGTAACTAAAATGTAAGTGTGTAGCACTTTTATAGTGTGATTATTATTATATGTAAAGAGGTGTGTAGTGTCACGAGTTACAAAGAACAGGAGCCATAAAAGCAGCACTAAAACAGTTAATCTCATCCCGCCAAACACACACCGAAACTACGACGTTGGTACAACGTTCGAACAAGTTTTAACACTTCCTAACCAGTTATAACAACCAATATAGGAAGTTGTAACAACGTTCTAATACGTCATAAACACGTGAAGCCAAGATGTAACAACTTTATTACAAGTTGTAACAAGCGGAAAATAGAGACAGTTTTGGTTTGTGTTTCCAGGGATATCACTGCACAACAAATTTTGGTAGAGGGGAAGTGCCATAAATTATCAAACAAAATTTAGGAATTATTCCAGATGCAAAAAGATTATTATTTCCTATACATGGGCAATTATTCATTTTAGAAAAAGGGTTTGAATAAGAACAGTAGTTACAGTATTATCAATATCTTCTGTAACTCAGAAACTGAAAAAACCAAAACTGACATTATCATCTTGGGAACACTGCAAGAAGACTATTTTCTTCCTTTCCAAGTAGGTTATTCAAAGTCATCAGAAAAGTTATAATTTAAAAAAAACACAGAGCAACAATATTTATCCAAAGTTTTTTTAGAGCAGCTGAAAGTTTCAAGTCACTTCACTAGGAGACTGACAAAAATAAATGGATTATGTAATCAAACACCAAATTTTGACAATTTTCTATCATTGTTGATGAATATCAGCATCAATATAAGCAGTAGAACGGGGTTAAAAATTAACTAAAACTAAAGCTTCTTGTACTGTATAATGGTTATTTTAGCTAACAAAAACCCATTGAGCAATACCAAAAGTCAATATAGTTTAACTGGCCTGTGAGAATGCAGGAAATAATAAAATATATATATACTGTAACTTACTATTTGAAAAATGAATGCAGTGCTAACAAATGTAAAATATGCCAGCCACTGTATATACAAAAATTATGCATCTCAAAGAAGTATGGAAGTAGGTATGCTAGGCATAATATTTTGAGGAGAAAATGAATGGGATTAGTCTAAACTTCAGATATTAGATTAAGAAAAATTAAATGGAAGAGTGGCTATTACCATAACCCGGCTTGCCTTGCAAGAGGAAATAGCCCAGATTCAAGGACTGGACATGGAGGGACAATTGGGCACTGCTCCTAAACGTTTGCCCCTGTTAACCCACCGACAATTCAGACCTGGTTTTAAAGAGATTAATGGACAGTGATCCAAACGAAATGCTAGGTGGATAAGGTTCAAGATCAGTTATGAGAAAGGAGCACTCTTAGCCTGCAAATAAGTCGGATGTCTGCTCGAGTACCCTCTAGTGGAAAGAAAAGAACTAAATAGGTAAAATAATATTAACAAGACTAAGTATCAGAGAGAGATACAAGAAATCAAGAGTTCTGTATTCAAGCACACAAGAGAAGTCTCATGTTAAAAATTATGGAAGCATTTGGGAAACAAATGTTCACTTAACAGCTGATGATGCTGATTATATACACATGTGTAACAACAAATGGACATCTCTGTATACAGTACATGTAATAGCTCTACTTATTTTCTGTTGGTGGGTTATGACTTGTGTCCGAAAGGTTAAAGGCATGAATGAATATAAATTGTTAATCAATAATTCATGTATTGAATTATACTGTACACAGAAAGACATTTTTCCAATCCTCCACACACCACCCTTGCAATGAGCACTGACTTCCTATTTCTAGTAAGATTATTTTTCCATAGACTTTTCTGTTGCTTTTCCTTCTCAACTGTCTGCACTTGCAGAGGTGATATTCAAATTGTACGCATTATTGTACAGCTGCAAACACATAGCAATTGGTTTTCTTATATGGCTGTCAAACCAGCATGTGTTATTTATCAACAAATGTATAAAGTCTAACACTTGAAGGAGGGTGAAGTGTCTAGGTAATACTGTATTCTACATAAGGCCACTTCCTCAAAGGAAGGAGAGTTCCCAGTGGGAACAAGACATCAAAGAATATAGATAAATATAAGGTATCTTATATCAATATAATTTTATTCTAATAAAAACTTAGTGGTATTACTGGACAGCAACCAATACAAATTTTAAAATATGTCTGAATAAATAGCCCTTATCCGTTGATAATTACAGGTTATTGTCAATTAGTGAAAGATGAAACAAGTTACATATTCAACCATGTATACATCCTGCTGGATGCAGTCGGACAAATGCTTTTAAAACTTCAATTTGTTTTCAATTTGTTTTTCTTAAATTTCAGCTCTTGACAATAGTTGTAGGTACTGTATGTGTATATAAACATATGTTAATTTTCGAACTTAACATTAATCTAATGAGTGATCCTCATTTTAGCAAATTAGCAATTTAAACACTCATTTGTCAAATGCTACTCCTGTACACAAATTATTTTCAAACATTTATAGTTTGCTATAAGCATATTTTGCACATCTGTAACAAATTGCAAGTGTTATTGCCAAAGCCTTTCTTGTAATTTGTTTTCTAACAATGAAATGAGTGACAAAGAAATGATGAGATGGATTTACAAATAATGATGAACATCTTCTGTTCCGGTGTTTAATAGAAACTCTTAATCGGATAGCCCTTCATCTGCGCCAGGCACATAGTCTTCGTCATCCTCATCATCAAGATCAAGGTCTTCTAGGTCTTGGAATAAGCTTTCATCTACAGTAACTTCTCCCTCTCCTATGAAAAAATAAAAGATTATCAAAAAAAGTCACAAAACAGTACTCCAATGAGCATATAACTCAAGTATAAATAACCTAATTACTGTATATTACAATATGGTACAATTATTTTGGGTCGTGAATGTGATTCAGTGCACAATAAATATCAAGAAACATTTACCATCACCCAAGAAGCTCAGGTCGGACTCATTAAGGGTCTGGTCTGTTTGGAACAATTCACGCCCAGTAAATTTCTTGTTCTTCTCTTCTTCCCTTTCTCTCTCTGACCGTAGTGCAGCCATTTCAGCATCAAACTTTGCTTTCCAAACTAAAAATGTTTCCACTGTCACTCGAGTGCCCTCAAATTTTTTCTGTAGGAATTTTAGATATTATATTAATGCTATTACCACATATTAGTAAGACTATTACAAAAAAACAAGCATTCACTCCATTGCTGATGAGCAATGAACTGGGAGGGAGTCAGGGAGCCACCAGTGCTCATCCAAAAAGGGGCATTAAATTACATTCAATGTTTGATTTCTGGGGCAGTCCCTTAGAGACTCCCTGAAGCTAACATCTAACATCTCCCATCAAACTAACATCAGAGAAGAAATAACAGCCAGGAAACCTGACCCAGAGAAACATAAGCCCAAAAGGGACCAGGAACATTGACCATGCCAAAGTCCAACCACATCGCCATGACCACACAACGCTGTGGGGAGGACACTGAGTAGAATTACCCTTCCACAACCATATAATTGTGGTATTGAGCAGAGTATGAATTGGCCAAAGCATGTGCAAGAGCCCAGGCATTCAACGCCAACAGAGGCCTACCTTGACCAACAGCAAGTGAGGCCCAACCCCACCAGACTGCCTCTGAACATAGAAGCCAGAACTCTGCAAAAAGAGCCTGACTAAGGGGACAAAACAGCAGAAAGCTACAGCTGAAATAACAGTATAAATAGCTTCCTTGGGAGGGAGAAGCAGACAAAATGTTAAGGACTAGGCCAAATCTAAAGACTAAGCCAGCACAGTCTGCTGATGCACATAAGGCAGACTAAGTAAAAAGCGTGTTTTGCCTAAAAGAAGAAGGGGGAGAGCAAGTAACTTTGGCAGCACCACTGAAGCTGGAGATGCAGATAGCAAGGCAGCCACATTAGAGATAGAAGCAAGAACTTCCAAGCTGCCATGAAGCTGATAGCTGATCTAAGAACAGCAAGTAGTGTACATAACCAATATACCAAGTACATTGCATTCTCTACACAAAATTGAACTTACAATTTAATGGAAGACAATCAGTCTTCAGTTTCTTAGTAAAATAAATGTACCCTCATTTGATATTTAAATTTTTAGGCAAACTTATGGAATACGTAATTTGGAGATAACTTACCCGATCTGCTTCCTCCTGTTCCTTTTTCTTACGTTCAAATTCCTCTTTTGCATTCCGTGCCAAGTCCTCCATGTGTGTGGTAAGCCACTCCACAGAATACGACACTAACGTAAAAACCATCACCATGCCAAGGTTCTCTTCACACTGTAAGGTGAATCTGTATTAGTATGAATGCATTTTGAGACATATGACCTACTCTAGAGCTCAAATGTTAGTAAAATCTTGCATTATGAGATATTCAATATCTGAATATAGTATCTGTATGAAACTTTGAAAGAAGCTACATGCATAATTCAGACTTATAAATAAAATATAATGCTATACTTTGCTATATTGTATTGTGTAATATATTATTATTGTATATACTCTGCCCATTTGTTTTCGCCTCCACCGGGGATTGAACCCAGAGCCTCGCGACTACGAATCTGAAGCGCTGTCCACTCAGCTGTTAGGCCCCTGTCAGCCTATGCTACACTTTCTAACTTGAGAATTGCTTTAACTACATAGATGGCAAAATACTAAAGAAATTGTTCACTATTTTTATTTGATAAATCTCTTTCTTGATTTTGACCAAAGCTGGAAGATGCATGTGTATGGGTAACAGCTTCTCCTTCATATAGACCTACCCTGGCTTTGCACCCTGGAGAGGAAACTTCAGCCTCGATAACTCGAGCGCAACCCCATGGTCTCCGAAGACTGCAAGATGTCTATCAATTACCATACTGATAAAGAAGAATTACTCCCCCATTACTATTATCAATAAAACTTAAAAGTTCTTCTCTCCCATACAGTTTGTTAAACTTAAGATTTCATCCTTGTCTATCACCTTAAATATTTTCTTGGTGCTTTTACAAAAAAAAAAAAAAAAACTTTCTAATGAAGTCCAATACAGTACAGGAGAACATCTGTAAGATTATATAGCAAGTCTCACAATACCTAGTGACCTTACAGTGATATTCAGTAATTCACTTACATACCTGTGCTTGCAACTGCTCTCGCAGATCATCTAGGTCTTCTTCTTCCACATTTTCTATAGGAATAATCTCCATAATTGGTGGCTCATCGGGATATGAAGGAGTGTATTCAAAATTAAGGGCAATCTCGGCTGGCTCTGCTTTAATATCGTCCAAAGAATCAGATCCCTCTGATTTCACGATGATTTTAAATTTATGTCTTGGCTCTACATCTAAAACTGCAAGAGATTATTCTTTCAGTATAACATACCTGAATATATATTACTAGTCATTATAATTTTTTAATTAGGATCGTGATCAGGATTTAATTAGGGAAGGAGGAACTCATTTGGTACAAGTGCCTGCATAAGGTAGACAGAAAACCATACTGTCCTTTGGTATTATACTCCATAGTAACCAAGACCAATAAATCTATTCTTGTTCTTTTGTTCTTGAATATTTTACTCCATACATAAAATTTTACTATTTTTACTATTACTGTATTATTACTAAACACAGAAATCACATTAACGTGATATATATCAATGAGAAGATCCACTAGGACAAGAGGTGGGGAACGAACCTACTTCAGAAACACTGAAGTTGGGACGTAAGGTGTAGGGCCACTTTGCCCTTCCACTTGAATGCTTGTGGGTCATACGTAAAAACCTGGACTGACTTCAGTAGGGACCTCCAGATTTCCTGTAATTTCAGTAGAAATCTAGTTGTATGACTTTACAAATCAGCAGTGGTCTAGTGGTAGAGTACGCGACTGGCATGGCCAGGGTCGTTGGTTTGTGCTCACCTATAGTCCTAGTGGATTTTCTCATTATTATTATTATACTGAAGTTCTCAAGTTCTAATTTTTTTTTAAATTATGCAAGACTTTCATGGCCATAATGCAAAATAATATTTTGATACAGCTCGACACAGTTTCTATTTATGGCTACTCTCATAAGGAAGAGAATGCGGCTAAAAAATACTGAATGTTCAATACATAAACACAGAAAAAAAATGATCAATTCATGGATATCAAAGGTGGCTACCTGTGTAGAAAAGGAAGCAAGTGAAACAGCCATATTTCCACATCTGTGATTTCCATACTACAAATTTTTTACTTGGTAGTTACATTAGCACATCTTCAAAACACTTGCGAGAGCATCTTGTGAAGATAGGTGGCAGAGTACTGACCTACACAGAGTGGGGTGTTAGCACAGTTGTTATTTAAACTATCATCACTGAACTCCCCTGATGATATCACCGCCCTAAGCAATAAACCTATAATTATACAGTATAGTACACTACTGAAATTTGTTTTATACATTACACCTGACCATTGTCAACCTTCAAAATCTTGGTGGCCAAATTATGGAGACTGACTTGTAAGATTGGTGAGGAAGAGAGCAGCAATCTTCCCCCAATACTATGCAATTCCCTACAATTTAGAAACCAACTTGAATAAGGTCATGCCTTTTGGATCACGCGGTCACACATACCCATTCTTCTGACAGGACAATTTCTGAAATGACAGACAAGTCCCATATGCCCTCTTGCACGAGTTTCCGTGTAACAGATCAAACTTACTCTCAAACTCCTCTGGATATATAGATTCTAACGCTTCGATTTCGTTAGTCTGCTCTTCTTTATAGTCCGTCATTTTAAGTATGCGAGACGAGAGGGAATGTGAGCAAGACTGGAGCAGCGTGTTGTCTTTCCACTGTTTTGGTTGCTGGAGGTCCCGTGTCCGGATCCTCTCCCGCTTGACTTGGCTCTATTAAACACTATTTTATTGAAAATGCGAAGGCATTTGAGCCAAAAAATGCAATTTTAATTTATTAATTAGATATGAACAAGCTATTATTGATGGTATGCTAATTATGTTATGAATGTTGTTATTATTTTGTTTAGTCAATGGTATTCTTATCCACGCACTTACTCTATCGGATAGTACAATTTGTTTACGGTGTTACATTTTGGGAAATAATATTAATTAATTTTGTTGGTGACAGGTAGCCTGACTGTATATATGTATCTTTTAAAAATAGAATACATATGCAAATAATATATATATGTTGTATCGAGTGCCCCATCTTTCCCACAAAAGTCGAACTGCTGACTCTCCCCAGGATGCAACACTGCAACAGTTGTTGAAGGGTTGGGTATATATATATAGATTTAGATTTTAGATTTAGATTTTTTATTCAGGTAAAGGTACATACATTGAGTTACATACATAATGTTAGATTTAAAGATAGAGCTAGTACATACAATACCTAAAGCCACTAGTACGCATACCGTTTCGGGCAAGACCTCATATGTATATAAGGGAGAGCCCTCATATTTTTTTTTAGATAAATACAAGAGTTCTACATTCTTGTACAGCCACTAATACGCGTAGCGTTTCGGGCAAGTCCTTAATCCTATGGTCCCTGGAATGCGACCTCACGAAAAATCGTATTTACAACCAAGTACCCATTTTACTGTTGAGTTAAACAGAGGCTACAGTTAAGGATTTGCGCCCAGTAAATCCTCCCCGGCCAGGATATGAACCCATGACAAAGCGTTCGCGGAACGCCAGGCGAGTGTCTTACCACTACACCACGGAGATTGGTAATGCATATGAGGTCTCCATTGCCTGAGTGCAATAATCCAGCACCAGAGGCTTATACAATTGAATGACTACCTCCGTTTCCTTAAAAGTAAAGGTACACTTGATTATTCCCAGGGTTTGGTTAATCCCAAATATTATTCCCAGGGTTTGGTTAATCCCAAATATTATTCCCAGGGTTTGGTTAAGCCCAAATATTATTTCCAGGGTTTGGTTAATCCCAAATATTATTCCCTGGGTTTGGTTAATGTGATCGTTGCTATCTCGGCAGCCAACAAAGTTTCTCAAACTGTTGGTATACTCTCAAAAATCTGATATTATATTCCCCGCTCTGCTCTTCTTACACTCTAATATTCGCTAATCTGTCCCTTTCTTACATACGGTATCTGTGCATGTGGTTCTACCACTGCATATTACCTCAAGCCCATCATCACCCAGCAAAAATCTGCTATCAGAACTATAACAAAATGTCTTCAGACAACACACTCTGTTTGAATCCCTAAACATGCTGAGCATACACTCACTCCACACATTCTCTTGTGCTATTTACATGTACAAAACCTTTGAATTGATAATTCTAAACTAAAACTCATGCTTTATAGATGTGATGCCAAAACTCTGCTGAACTTTAAAATTCAGCTTGAAAAAATCAACAGAACATATGAGGGGGGTTCTTTGACAAGCCGTCGGCTTCCTGTCTACATCGATACTACTATAGAGTGTTAGTGGCTCTCAGGTAAATTCAGGTGATAGAATCCACGAGCACCACTCTGTGGAACTCACTCGCTAATGAATTACAAAAAAAATAAATTTATACTTTATTCAAAAGTAGAGCCAAAATTTCATCCTCATAGTTTCCCACCTTGTGCTACTAACTCACATTGTATCTTGTGCTACACACTCGCCGATTTTAGTATTATAAATAACAAAGTACATGACTTAATCGGAGAACTCGGAGATAAAAGAACAGTTATCCCTTAAATAAAATTATTTCAGAAGTTTAACATTGAAAACGTAGTGTATCGCAAACTACTCTATTTGTTTTTAACTATAATAACTAATTTTAATACAAGGTTACCAATAGTCGGGGACAAGACGCCTGCTAGACGTCAAACTGTTTAACATAGATGGATAATAAAATGTCAATATAAAACTGGATTTTGTATGTCTTATAATTTGAAATTCCGTGTCTTGAACAACCATGTAATCCACTAATTAATTTGTAGCGAGTAGATTATGTCAATTTTTTTTTTTTTTTTAAGATATATACAAGAGTTGTTACATTCTTGTACAGCCACTAGTACGCGTAGCGTTTCGGGCAAGTCCTTAATCCTATGGTCCCTGGAATACGATCCCCTGCCGCGAAGAATCGTTTTTTCATCCAAGTACACATTTTACTGTTGCGTTAAACAGAGGCTACAGTTAAGGAATTGCGCCCAGTAAATCCTTCCCGGCCAGGATACGAACCCATGACATAGCGCTCGCGGAACGCCAGGCGAGTGTCTTACCACTACACGATGATGATGATGATGATAAAGATTAAGCCACCCAAAAGGTGGCACGGGCATGAATAGCCCGTAAGTGGTGGCCCTTTTGAGCCATTACCAGTATCAAGAGCTGATACTGGAGATCTGTGGAAGTGCGACTGCACCCTGCGTGACGGGAGATGTCTCCCGTAATTATTAATTTTTTTCTTTTTTCTTTTTTTTTCCCAGTGTTCTGAGGTTGCATTTAACCATCAAGCTGTTATCGTGGGGGAGGATACTGCTTCACAGTCTTTATGAGGGTGTCCAGCTGCTGGACACCTTTGTTGACCAGGAGAGTGGCTGTGTTGATGGCTTCAGGGTGGCCACTGCATGATTCAGGAACTCTTAAAGCTCTTCTAAGGTCATTGGTTGCTTCACATTCCAGAAGATAGTGAAGTAATGGCTTTTCTGTGACAGTTTGGCAGAAGATGCATTCTCTCTGTCGGGGTTCACCAATCTCCCAGTTGCATCTGTAAGATTGATTGATTGATGAAGATTAAGCCACCCAAGAGGTGGCACGGGCATGAATAGCCCGTAAGTGGTGGCCCTTTCGAGCCATTACCAGTATCAAAAGATGATACTGGAGATCTGTGGAGGCGCAACTGCACCCTGCGTGACGGGAGATGTCTCCCGGACCAAGTGGTGACCAAATGGTGTGCATCTGTAACCTAGACGTAGTCTATATAGCCTAACTGCTATTTCCCTGTGGATTCCTTTTGGGATATTTAACCTTTCTTACCACTACACCACGGAGACTCAATAATATACTCGCTCCAAACTCATTAGCTTAATGAGAGTACAGGGCAGCACAACTCTCATTAGCACTAATGACGAAACTCAAACATTTTCCCTAATAACAGTTAACATTCCTCCCATCCTTTGGAGGACGACGAGGTGAGGTGTGATCATATAAGCAATCGAGAAGCCAGTAACTATCACGGGAGACATCTCCCGTCACGCAGGGTGCAGTCGCACCTCCACAGATCTCCAGTATCATCTATTGATACTGGTAATGGCTCAAAAGGGCCACCACTTACGGGCTATTCATGCCCGTGCCACCTCTTGGGTGGCTTAATCTTTATCAATCAATCAATCAGTAACTATCAGAGACATCTCCCGTCACGCAGGGTGCAGTTGCACCTCCACAGATCTCCAGTATCAGCTCTTGATACTGGTAATGGCTCAAAAGGGCCACCACTTACGGGCTATTCATGCCCGTGCCACCTTTTGGGTGGCTTAATCTTCATCAATCAATCAATCGAGTAACTATCTTATGGGCTATTTAGACACCTCTATTTTGCCGCTACTTTGCACCAGTAACCATATGAAGTTACCAAGTTATCTACGGTGCTTTTTCTTTTTTGCTCCTATTATATTGCTAGTGTTTCATTGCTTATTTGCGTGTTTCTCCAGTGTTCGTTTTATTTGTAAGAGAGGGGGAGTGGTTGCTGGTGCCACGGATTCAGCTACTCCGTTCATGAGCGCCTCCAGTGAATTCGGATTGGAAAGGTGTTATTGTTTACAAGTATGCTGTGGGCCTCTCGGTAGCACCAGTGTTTCACGGTGCTTGAGTGCCTCTCAATCACCAAGAACAGTGCTTGAAACATCCCCTCTGCTTGTGCCATTGTGGTTTGTTACAACATACTTTCTTCAGAGGTATTCTTCAAGTGAGACATATGTTTTATGAGAATCTAGTGGTTCAGTGAACATGTAAGTACTTTTACCTCAATTAGTGTGATTTAGTAATTTCCACTTTTTTGAAGAGACATTGCTTCGTGATGATTACCTGCATTAAATAGTATTTTAACTTTAAGTGCTTAGCCTATATTTAAGTGATCATATAAGTGATCTTACCTAAAATAAGTGTGATTTAGAAATTTCCACTTATGAGCGTGGCATTTTTTCATGATATACACCTGTAGTGAATCATCTGCCAAAACTCTGTTAACTTTTAAAGGACAACTGGAAAAGACCCTTAAAATGTGGGGGGGGGGGCTCCTTCGACAAGTCGCCGGCTTCCTGTCCTCGTCGAGGCCGCTAGTATTAGGGGCCCTCGGGTGAATTCATATAAAAACTCTTAGCTTTAAGTGCACGAACCTACTTTTAAGTGCATAGCTTAGATTTTAAATGTGCATATAAGTAAATCTACCTGAAATAAGCGTGATTAAGTAACTCTCACTTGTCAAACTAACACAGGTGTATGATATATATATACCTGCAATGATAAAATATTCTAATGTTTAGTGCATTAAGTTACTCGTAAGTACATCCGGTTATCTTCACAGTGCCGTATGTCATTTTTTTTATTTTTTGTTTATTATTTTCTACCACAGACGTGGTCACACATTTTCAATGCTAACCAGCATATATACATTTTCTTCTGTCCTCCATGGACAGGGTTAGAGAAGTGTTAAACATATAGTTCAAGGGTTTATTGAACACTCAACCACAGAAGGTGATTCGGTGCTTTTAAAATGCTAAGCTAACCTACATACGTAAATACATATATACACAGATTTACGAATGCCCTACATAAAGTATTATCAGGTATGGTTTAGCAAGTAAGGCCTATCAAAGGTTGCATCTCTGAGTGATACGTGAAGAGTTTGCAATTGATGTT